CACTTAGCATATTAGGCTTTTATTATATAGGATTATAGGTTCAATGTCTAAAGGCAAAGTTCTGCTTCCTCCTTGTGGTCAGAAATGCAGCACATCCAGCTTTGTAAAAAGTAAGACCCTCAAGAATATTCACATCAGGAAGCCTGAACTCTGACCATTATCTGTGTTAGGAAAAATGAAGAGACTAAACTAAATTATGTCATCTCTTCTAAGCCAAACATTCTATAATTCTAGAATGGTTTACAATGGATTAAGACTTAAATGTAAGTCACACAACCATAAAAATCCTAGAAGAAAACATAGGCAGTAAAGTGATTTAAAAAAAACGGGGGGCCATTTATATGTACTTAGCACTCCAAATACATAAAGCAAAAATGGACAGATTTAAAAGGAGAAATTTACAAACCCACAACACAGTGGGAGATTAGCACACACTTTTCAACAACTGAGGAGTCAAACTAAAAATCAGTAAAATAAGGGAAGAATTGAAAAATAAGCATGATAATAATATTCTGTGCCCATGTAAAACTTTATCAAGTTCTTACAAATACCATCTTGACATCACCCTGATTAGAAAATAGAGATGGTCTACCTCTCCTAAAACCAGAAACAGGAGTAAAGAATGTAACAATCCCAATCAAACAAGTTAACAACAGAGGAGGAAGTGCAAACGCTCCTTCCTGACACCAAGGCAAAACCTCTTCCCTATAAATCAAGTATTCTACAGCTCCCTAACTCCTTTTTCCTATTTTTGCTCTTACTGCCTAGTTCAAACATTGAGAAAATAGACTATGTTATTATTTATAAGTACTTCAAGCACTGTGGATAAATGAGTTTTATAAAAAATATAAGCCATTCCAATTCATCTACAAAGCCAATCAGTTTTTCTTCCCATCCTGGTTCTCCACTTCCTCTGTAGATTATTTACACCCCTAAACAACCTTCTGATGCTGAATTCACAGGAGAGACCAATAGCTCACATGGTCAGAGAAAGTGCAAGCTGAGCAGAATGCCATACACACGCTTCTGCGAGAGTGGGAAGGGAAATCACCATTTACTGGAAACAACACTCTGGTGGTTTTTGTTCACTAATCACCCTCTTTCCAAGACTCTGTCTAATCCTCCATTAGATGGAGCCAGTTCCAAGCTACAAAGCAAATAGACTGCTTCTTATGGTTTTAATCCCATGTACATTTAAGATGGCCACCTTAACCACTGCCCAGGCCTGCAAGCATACCAGGGGGCACCCTGCCTACTCACATGGGGGAGTTCCTGGGAGCATCAGCCAATCCCAAGGCCACCCCAAGATGGTATAGTGGGAACCCGTGGGTCTGCCTATCTGGAGAAGGATACCAAGTGGACTCAGAGGACAGCCACCAGCCACCGACACCAAGATGTTTAGTCTAATGAACAAAATAGATACAGAGACATAGAAGCATGGGACAGACTGTTGAAGCTCAAAGGGAAGGCGTGGGTGGGAAGTGATCAACCAAAGACCTTGTATGCATATATGCAAAACCCATGGACACAGACAATAGGGTGGTGAAGGCCTGGGGCGGGGGGCGGGGTAGAGTAGGCTAGAAGAGGTCAATGGGGGGAAAGGGGACATATGTAATACTTTCAACAATAAAAATTAAGAAAAGCAAAAAAGATGTTGTTTAGTCCTATGGAGCTTTGGCCTCAGGTGGGGAAGTTTTCTAGGAAGTTGAAAGGAAACAGTGCCCATAAACAAGAAAAGAAGCCAATGTTTATTGTCTCTCTTTCCAAATTTCTGCTTTAGGGATAAAATCCTAACTGGTATTCAGAGTAGATCCTAGGATGAACCAATCTCCCAACACCCACTGCTCATCTATCTCTCACCTTCTTGCCCACCAGTCTCTCTGGTCCTTGGTTCTCTCCACCCAAACCTCCTTTCTGTCTGAACCCTATGTTGTCCTCTCCTGGCACACATCACCTGTCTTGAATCTCCAGGATGCTCCCTTCTGAGCTGTGGTGTTTGCCACACTGAAAATAGTCTCTGTTTCTATGTCTTTCCAAACTGTGAATGTCCTGTAGGAACAGGGACTACAAGTTACCCATTGAATTCCTGAGGGCCCTGGCAATACCTAGCACTCAGCATGTCCCCCGCCCCAATATTGAATGAATAGATGAATAAATAGGTAAAATCAAGTGCTTTGCCACCAAAAGCTCTTGTTATACTGTGCCTGCCCCTATGTGCCCTTAAATAGCTCAAATATATTGAGTTTTGTGTGACAACACTGCAAGTCAGAACCCACAAGAATTGTAAGACAACAGGTAAAGCTCAAGCCACCTTCTTTATTATCAAAGCAGGTCCTAGCTCTAGATTTCCAAAAGTCAGGTTAGGATGATGGGGATGTAGAAAGCCTGAAATTAGTAAGAACTAAGATCAGTAACAAAACTTTTCAAAGAAACTGCCTCTCAGTTTAACAGTGTTTTTTTCTTTTTATCAATGAAGCAAGCTGCTAGGGCAGGAGGGGAAGGGAGAGGTGGGGAGGGCTGGGAGGAAAGGCAGGTAGGAGGGGTCAAGGATACAGAGTGCGTGCTGTATCCATGACGTGGACAGCTGCTTCTGGTTGTATTTTAAATGAAATCGCATCCCAGTGTAGACACCACGTCTGGAATTAGGACCCACCCTGTGATCTGTCACTTCTCCATACACACACGAGGGAGTGGAGCAGTCTCCACAGAGAGGAAACAATACAAGAAAAGGAGCCAGCGACCCCAGCAGAGACAGAAGTTCAGGGGGATGTTCCCAGGGCAGACCTGGTCCTGAAGCTGCACCTGCCTCACTGAGCATCTTCACTCCGGAGTCCATTCTCGGGTAAGATTTTGGATAGAGGCTTTTCTATAAAGAATAAATTTATTTGCCCTAAATTAGGCAGGAGGTGCTGGGGACTTGGCAAGGGTGAGACATGAAAATTGAAAGACAGTGCTGCATGCCACGGTGTTTTAAATATGAGACCATGGGGAAGTTTCTAAGCGGGGTGGGGAGGGAAGGGCAAAATAATCCTTTTGTTGATACAGACACACAGGCTTTGCAAAAGGTAATAGATTGAAGGCAGAATGGGTTCATACAAATCTATTTTTCTGAACAGAATTCAGTCATGAACATGAAAAATGGCCCATGTAATAGTTTACCAATGGGGATAGGAGACAGAAACTACAAAATATCCCTACAGAATATCCCTGCAGGCAGTAGGATGCTTGCAATTATTGTTTATCATGTACCAGCATCTTTAACCTCTGTCACCTTTCATTCTCTCAATACACCTGTGAGGCAGGTAATGTCTCCTTGTTAGGGTGTGGACTAAGAGCTTCACCCAAGATAATTAAGAAAGTGAGGAAAGTTTCGAACCCAGGTCCTTTGGCTTCAAAACCTGGAGTCCTTTCCCTCTTGCTGCGCTAGGGACTTTGGAGGAAGGGGACAGATATTTCCAAGGACTAGGTGCTACCTGTGAAAGGGAAAAACCATAAAGATGGATGTTTGGTGTCTCCTTTTCATGCCCAAAATTTTCCGAGAAATCCTGTTTGCAATTTTCTCCTCAAGCATAGCGATCTAGCAAACAGGCACAGATACACACACACACACACACACATACACACACACACACACACCACTTACAATAATAGATTAAATAGATTAAATAATACGGCAGTAAAACAAATTCTGCCAATTCTGTAACATGTCATCTTTCCTCTGGCTGTCCCCCCCTCTTTGGAGGAAGAGCCTTTCACATAGAAACCTTCACTGCTCACTTTGAGAGTGCACTGCTTAGAGGTGTCTGTGTGTGCGCGTGTGTGTCTGTCTGTGGTCACACAACACTAACACGAGTCTACAAGAAGAAAACAGCTTACTGCTATACTCACTACTATTCCTTTTAAAATGATTAAAGCTTCCCTAGGTTCTGCAGACACTGTTTTCTGAAATGTTTTTAAATTTTTCATTATTTAAAAAAAATATTTTTATTGATTTCAGAGGAAGAGAGAGGGAGAGAAAGATAGAAACATCAATGATAGAGAACCATTGATTGGCTACCTCCTGCACACCCCCGACTGGGGATCGAGCCCACAATCCAGATATGTGCCCAACCAGGAATTGAACTGTAACCTCCTGGTTCATAGGTTGACACTCAACCACCAAGCCACAATAGCTGGGCTAAATTCTTCATTTTTTAAAAATTAAACTTCTTAAGAGTGTTTGCAGACAAACTGGGTAAAATAGGGAATAACTCTGTCATCCTTCCCACCCCTTCCCCACTGGAAAATGGAGCTAGCAGGGGGCACATATATAATGG